GTTTACCCAGGAAGCTATAAACATTCTATTTAGAACCTTTACATAGTTGGAAAAGATTCACTGAATGCTGCGTATTGTGGGAATGCCACCCTTGTATCCATTCAGCCACAGTGACCCTAAGAAGTAGGTGCTATGCTCAAGGCCCACTGCACATCGTGGGGAGGGGCCAGAGCTGGACTGTCTTATCTAGCGCCAAAACCCACAGTCTTTCTCCACATCCTGTTGCCACCTCCAGTGTTCAAAATGTCACCACTTGCTTGACAAGCTGAGTTACCAATTCACTCAGATGCAACATGGCAAAGACATTAAAAAACCAAAAAGATCCTTTATCCAGAGCAATTTGAACAAGAAAAGTAAACTACTCTCCCAACAAATTCCCTATGTTCAGAGAATATAGATACATAAATATCCATAGTTAACAGAAAGCAACTCCGTCTGTCCCTAACCAAGAGGCCTCATTTTCATTGCTGCCACCAAATGATTAACAATGACCCAGTGGGTAATACACTAATAATTTTAAAAACTGCTCACTTCACATTATTACTAGGCCAACAAAAAAAACTCAGCACAATGTCAAGACTGCACCTGCATTAATATTAAAAGCAAAAAGCTCTCAAAGGAAGAAACATGGAAAGGCAAGTCCTTGAAGATAGGCTCCCCTCAATCTCATTTTTACCTTTACTCATCCAACTGAACTTTAAGTGCCACCAGAACGGGCAGCTTTTCCATATCAGGTTCTAATCATAAAACTGGCCTCAAACCTTTTATTCCAAGGATTCCCTCTACCAATGAGCAGACTGCTCCTATTCCTTGAATCAGCCTAACGTACACCAATTGCCAGGAAGCTACAGAGCCTCCCTTTTTCTGTTTAGTAGCTGTGCTGCCAGCCATGGCTGCAGTTTAAGCACCTTGTTCAACTTGGCTACTTCCCTATTTGCTTTATCACTCAACTTCTCCAAATAAGGTCAGAATCAATTGCTCTGACACTAGCAAACACTGTCCAGAGGGACCACAATTAGGTTCTCTAGAACAAAGCTTAAAGCTACCCAAAGAGACTCAGTTACATTAGCAATTTTCACCAGAGGTATTTATTGTAACTAGATCTGGCCTTTATAAAGAGATGTTTCTAAGGACTCTAGAGCTACAAATATAAAACGCAAGTGAACAGCTTAAGGCAACTCTTGAGACTGCCATTTCTTTCCATTAGGAAGGGTAAACGATCTAAAAGCAAGGAGCAGAGGTGGAGGCATTATTAGATGAATCCCTAACCAGGCTCGGTAAGATTGTTCTACACCCAACTGTATGAAAATTTACCTACTCAGAAACCAAATGTTCAACTCACAATCTGTCAGGCAGTAAACAACTAAGGTTTTCATTTTCACAGATGCAAAAACACTTTTCCCAAGGGATCAACCTTTCTGGATAATACAAAACCACAGTATGGTTTGCTAAAACAGCTAGCTCTACTTCAAATTCTAGCTTGTCAAGAATCAAAAAATTTAAACCTTCAGAACTGAAAGCCTGACTCAGGAGGACAGGACAGACTGGGATTAGAAAGTCCTTTTGGGAAATTCTACTTTTTCCAATAGAAAAGCAAACATGAGATAAATAAAAAACAGGATTTTGACTATAATATCTGTATTTTCATGGTCACAACTGGTTTTATTTCTAATGGGAGATCTAGATTTTCTTTGCAATAAATCCTCTCTCCCAGAGAGAACAAAAATTTTAAAAGGTTTTAACTGTTTATGATTTGCTGTTAAATCAGGCATTGAGTGACACCCTTTTCTTTTTCTTTTGCAACATCCATTAATTTCATTTTTAACTTCTACTGGTACATCAGTTTAGGGGAGAAAAAAGGTAGTACTGTGACATTTTTAAAAAAAGGTTTACCAAAAGCAATACGATTGAATTACTGGGGCTTCTTAAGACTTTATGGGTGATAGTCCTTTGAGGAAAAAAAAAACACCTTGTGTTGATATGCTGGAGAGTGTCTTAAATGTTTGGGTAAATTATTTTCAGATTCAACTGATTGCTAAAATTTTCACTTACAAATGATATTCTATTGCTTTAAAACTACATTTTAAAAATTTAAGCATTCTTCAACAATTCAGTAATCTTATAAACTCGAGTCATCAGTTAACATCCATTTTCTGCTCTTAGCTCCTGGAGAAATTTTACCAAGGATGGGGAACTTCAAGTAAGTGCAAATCCTTTTCGGACTGGACAGTGTGTTCATTTCGTGCTTTGGACATTATTCACGGGATACTATTCATTCTGTGGATCACTTTCTCCCATAACTGATTTTATACACTTAAGACCACCACTGCATCACAGGTGTGAACATATTAAGAACAAAATAAGCGGCCTAATGAAGTGCAGTTCATGTTTCATCTAAACATGAGTGAACACCTTTCTCCTAAGAATGGAAAAAAAAGAAACACTTTTTTGAGAAGGCTAGGTCGGTGTGTTAGAAAAGAGTTCTTTAACAAAGTATGTCAGGGACCAAAGTGGGCCAGAATGAAAAGGGAACCTCAACGTGTTTAGTCTTTTAACTCAAAAACTTATGCTTGTAAAACACATCAGAAGTAGTTTTTGGTTCTGCAAGTCATTTGTTTGTTTTTTTCCTTTGTATGTGTAGGATAAGGGGCTGGAAGTGTTCTCTCCAACATGACTGGGCGTGTAACACATTTTGCATCAACTTTTCACGGTCAGGCATGTGCTTTCCAACAAAGAGCAGTGGAGACAGGCAGAGATTGGGGCTTGACACAGTTTACACATTTTGTGCTTCACAGTACTTTACAAATGACTTGCTCAATTTTAATTGTCCATCACCACAAGAGACATTGAAATAAAACGAGGAAAATTGGACTACTTGAACCACAATCGTTTTGGTGGAGAGGGAGAACTTTTACGTGAATACCAAGTATCATAAACCAAATTCAGTAAATTTGTCTCCTACACGTGGCTGGATATAATAATGGATTGATATGGAAAGAGGGTCCCCAAGAGTCTGAAAACATGGGCCTATTACATATATTTGTCATGTGACAGTAATACTTTTTTTTTCTTTTTGAGAAAACTGTGTACATCAAATTTTCAAAAATTAAACATCGAAAGGATGTGCAAGTCTAAAAGGGCTCAACAGGGTTAGAAACCTGATTTGAACATATAAATTCATTCTCTCAAGCATCACTTTGGTCTATAGGCGAGGAGGAAGGCAGGCAGGAAAAGGGACAAAAAGAGGGAGATAATTGAATTACTCAATAAAAGAGGCTACTTACCATCCCAACCCATTGTAAGACATACACTTCTGACATAAGAGAACTCCTTAGAGGTCGAATAAAGCGTGTGAGCACCTTTGAGTAATGCACCTGCCCCCAGAGAGGGGGCCCCCGGAAGCCCAACGTGGGCTAGCGAACAGACCTTTGCTAATCTGTTTATTTCCTTGTACTGGAGTCGGGCTGCGAAGGGCTGCGAGTCCCAGGACGATACATTTAATTAAAACAAAACAGTGGAAAAAGAAAAAAGAAAAGAAAAACAAAGAAAAATAAAAAAAAAATTTGTAAACGCTCACCAAACTGCTGCACTTGTGTCTCTGAATGTGGGTGGCATTTCTTTTAAAAAGCAAAGAATGGTCTGTGAAGGAGAAAGGGAAAAGGAGGAGGTGGAAGTGGGGGACAAGGGGCCATGGAGGCTGAAGGGGGTAGCCCTGGCTGAGACCCCCGACTGCGCTGAGCCTGGAACAGCCATCTGTCCAGAGCGATCGCTTCCCTCCCCACCCCCACTCCCTCCAAGCCTCGCTTTCCGGCCGGCTGAACCCCACCTTTCTCAGATCCTCTCTCCAGCCTCCTCTCCTACCCCACCAGCATGGATGTGCATACCCTGCACCCCAACGCCATCTTTCTAGTGAGGCAAAGGCGTCCCAAGCTCTCGTGAAAGGCGCGAGGCTGGCCCCATTATCGCGCGCCAGAGAAGGGCGTGGAGACCCATTTCGAACTGAATTCAAGGGGCAAGAAGCATCCTTTTCCACCCCCTACCAAAGCACAAGGAAACCTTTCCGGGAAGGGATGGCGCCCCGTTTTATCCTGAGGGTGGGGAGAACTCCAAGAGAAAGCTAGGGGCAACTTCCTCTCTAAGCTAAGAAAATCAAACACCAAAAGAAAAGGAAGAATACCAAACACACCCTAAGATATGCGGCCGAAGGCCCTCCCTCAGGTCACCTACCAGGGAAAAAAAGAGGAATCCCTCCAAGGGGAAAAAAAAGACTTCTACCCCCAAGAGAAGGGGTTTCATCAAAAGGGCCAAAGATGCACCCCATGGTTCAGCTTTCTAGGGTGTAGCTAGAAAACACCTCCCGCCAAAAAAGTGCAAAGGAGCCGCCATCAAAGGTCCCCCATTATTAAGACTGGGCGAAACCCCACTTTCTGCCTAAGCTCGGGTACCTATCCAAAAGCAGGGCGCACCTCCCCCAGGAGAAAGGATACTGCCGGGGGCTTGAAGACCCTCCTCAACTCCAAGCCCCTAAGAGCGGAGCTGTGGCTCCAGATCCCCCAAAAAAGGGTCCGGGAGCCCCTCCCCCACCCCGCCCCGAAGCCAGGCGGCGGGCGGGCCGGTGGCTGCCAGCTCCGGGCGCAGGGGCAGCGCGGACCCCGCGGGCCTCCACAGCGCCCCCCGGTGCCCCCTCCCCAGGGCGGGCACGGGGGATCCGGGGGGCGCCTCCTCACCTTCCCCTCAGCATGGCGCCCAAAAAAGACAGAGCAAGAGCAAGGGAGAGCGGGCGAGCGCCGCGAGGGGGGGGAAACGCATGAGGCCGGGAGAGAAAGCAAGCGAGAAAGAGCGAGGAGCAAGAGACACCCACCGACCCCGCCCTTCCTCCTCCTCCTCCTCCTCCTCCTCCTCCTCCTCCTCCGCGGCCCGGCCCAACATGGCGGCCGCCCTTCCTCCTTCTCCTCCTCCTCCCCCCGGGGGCGCTGCCCCGGCCCGGCCGGGGGCCTGACCTGTCGTCAGGGAGCGGGAGGCGGTGGTGGAGGAGGTGCGGGGAGCCTGGGCGGGCGTCGGGGGAACACGGAGGAGGCGAAGGCGATGATGGCGGCGGCGGCGATGGCGATGGCGGCGACTCTGATGGCGGCGGCGGGGGGGTCCCGGGCGCGGCCTCCATGGATCCTTGGGGGGGAGGGGACGTGAATGCACGAAAAAGGACTGCTTGGGCGTGGCGGGAGGGGCACACTTCGGCTGAGTTCTCCTGGTGGGAACTGGGTCTGTATTTTTTCGGTTTCGGAATCACCTCGGCGCCGACTTCCGCGTAGGCCGCGCGGCCTAGGCCCCGGCGGGCCGCCCGCCACCTTTCTCCGCAGCCCCCTCCTGCGGCCGGTCACTCGCTCACGGGCGCGGGGGCCCTCATCGCGGCGAGCGCCCCCACACACACTCGCCCACGGGCCCGGGGCGGGATACCCGAGGACACGGACACTAGTGGGTTGGTTGGGTGTAATTAGCGCGGACCGCGCGCGATGGAGCAAGCGAGGGGGAGGGGAGAAGAGGATAGCGAGCGAGGGGGAATTTAAAAAAAAAAAAAAAAAAGAATTTTAGGAAGAGAGCAAACGGGCTGCAGAGACCGGCCGACTGTCTCGTCTGCCCGCCCTAGGTGCCCCGGCTACCCGGCCCCCGCCGCAGTCAGGAATTAACACAAAATGGCGGAACAACCGGGACGAGCCTGGACACCGAGGCGGGAGGAAGGGCGTGGAGGGCGGGGGAACTAAGAGGCGGAGGCCCGGGCTGCGTCACGCGGAGGAGCGGGGCCGAGAATGCTCGCCCGAAGGCCGGCGGAAATAGCCGAAAGGAAAGGGCGACGCCGAGGAGAGGCGGAGAAAGCCGAAAGCAACTGAGTCGGCACTAGCAGGCACTAGCAGGAAGCCGGGGTGAGCCGAAGGCGGCCTGGGCCACCACCGTACGAGAAGCCAAAAGAAAAAGCAAACAGCCGAACGCGATGATAGGGGTATGGACAGAGAAAGAATGCAGCGCCGGAAAGAGCCGAAGTGGGTGGGTACTGGGCCGACGAGGGTGGAATCAATCCGAAAAGAGCCGAAGATAAATGGCTGTAGGAGGCGGAAACAGCCGAAAAAAACTGAGCCGGAGTAACATGACCAAGAATAAGTCGAACGGGTAGGAGCTGAAAGGCGATTAACTGAGAGTAAATGACTTTGAGGAACTCGTCAGACAGCAAGCGAGAAGAATTGGAAACTGCTAGCTTGCAGGAAGGCGGAAAAAGTGAAAGGTTTTAGGTGCAAGAATGGGGAGGAAGAAAAAAAATAACCGAAAGCCGGAGGTCGGTCCCAGGAGTCGTAGGTTTCCGGAGAAGAGGGGCTGGAATACGGCCCGGCGGAGATGGCGTCACTAGATACCTCGGTCCGTGACGTAATGCGGAGAGGGGCGGGGCTTGTGGTACAGAACCCAGAAGCCTTGACCTGTTCCAAAGCTGTGTACAAACGTGGTTTTATCAGGTTCGCCCTAGTGGCGTACACTACTTAGGAGATTGATACAAGAGGATGGTAAGGTCCAGCTCAGCCTGAGCAATTTAGTGGAGATCCTGACATAAAATGTAAAAAGGAGCCAGGGATATAGCTCAATGCAAAGGCTCTGGGTTCAGTGTTCGCGGGGGTTGGGGGGGGGACGGGACAGTGAGTTGGTTCCAGGGCAGAGGATCATGACAAGTTTTATAATCAAAGCTGTCATTCTGTTGTCTCCTGCAAACTTGTTCAATCTCCTTCGCTTCCCACTGTCACCAGGGAGCCAGGGCCTGACCCCTCAAGGAGCTGGCACTAGCAAATCGCCTTGGTCCTTTTGTGCCCTTGATGAAGCAAGTCAAAATGCACAGGCTTGGGGCCAGGGAGATAGCTCAACGGCGTAAGTGCCTGTTTGCAAGGTACTGAGTTCCATCCCTGGTACAAAATAAAATAAAAATGCACAGGCTGCCAGCAGAAATACAGTTTGAATTTACTGTAGCAAAGTGGAAACAAGGGGCCAGGGAGATGGCTCAGTAGAATAAGCGCTTGCCTGGCAAGTGCAGGGCCTGAGTTCAATCCCTGGTTCCACCAAAAAAAAAAAAAAAAGGACACGGTGGGGTGGCAGGCTTATAATCCCAGCACTTAAGCAGTTGGGGCAGGAGAATCACCGTAAGAATTGAGGCCAGCCTGGCTACTTAAAGACCATCCTGAACTGGATAGTTAAGACCCTGTCTCAAGAAAAAGCAAAAACGTACAGCAGTGAGTAGGTTAGGCAATGGCACAAACCCATGTGTCTAAATTTGAGTTGGGTTATCTTTCTGCATATAGAAGTTACTCCAGGGGCCGGGGAGATGGCTCAGTAGAATAAGCGCTTGCCTGGCAAGCGCCAGGGCCTGAGTTCAATCACCGGTTCCGCAAAAAAAAAAAAAAAGTTACTCCAGGCTAGGGAGATAGCTCGGCGGTCTAAGCACCTAACCAGCAAGTGCAAGAACCCGAGTTCGATCCCCAGTACCACATGCCGTGTCGGCACAAAAAAGGGTTTGGTGCACGCTTGTAATCTCAGCACTGGGGAAGCTGAGACAAGAAGATCACATCCAGTCTGAACTTCGTAGGGAGACCTTGTATCAAACAAATATATTTCATTTTAAAAGAGTTACTCCTAGGGCCGGCCTAATAGCACAGCAGATTAAAGCGCCTGCAAACTGGAGGGTGGCGGATTGCGGAGGGGCTTCAGTCTTTGGGCCTACCGTGCTGGCCCCGCCCCCGGGGCGCATTGAGATGATTGACACTGGGCATGGTGGCTCATGCCTGTAATTCCAGCTCTTAGGAGGCTGTAAACAGGAGTTTATAGTAGTGAGACCCTGAACACCCTGTGGACCCTTCCCTAAAATACAGAAAAATAAATAAATAAATAAAAAGTTACTCCTGAGGTCCAGAAAATTACGGTAATTATGATGTTTATTGACATTTTTCTTAGATCTTATGTTAGAATTACAAAAGTCTCCCTGCGCTTTTCAAGTGGCCAGTGTTCCCTTAGGGATCTTTTTTTTTTTTTTTTTTTTTTTGGTGGAACCGGGGATTGATCCCTTAGGGATCTTACTCATGTAGCAACCTTAGGAAAGTTTATGAAAGATGTTTCTTTTTTATTTTTCCTTGAATTTTTTATTGGTACATTTTATATATACATAGTGATAGCATTCATCATAGGGGAATTGTACCTTGCTCCAAACAATAGTTTCAAGCATTTTTTTTTTAAGATTTAAAATTTCTGAATTTAGTTCAACTTATAATACCACATTTCCAAGAAAAATAAACCTTTTGCAAAGACATTTAAATAAAATCATACCAAGACGCATGAAAATGAAATTGTTCAAAACTTCTTGTAAAGAAAAAAATCATTGGGGCTGGTGAGATGGCTCAGTGGTCTAAAGCACCTACTTAGAACAAGCTTAGCAAGCACAGGGACCGCGGTTCAATCCCCCAGCACCACATGCCAGCCAGCCCCGCCCCCTGGTGGGCTGAGCTGGCCACACACACACACACACATAAATAAATAAAATTTAAAAAGAAAAAAATCATTAAAGCATATACATAAAAATATTAGCTATGGAAGAACAAAATTAAATAGCATCTTATTCCACATTAGAAAGAAAAAAAAGGACCAAGGGTATAAGAAACTAGATTAATTAAAGGACTGAAAGAAAAGATCTGTTCATGAAAGATGTTTCTTTTTTTTAAAAAAAATATTTATTTAGTGTGTATGTGGCCAGCTCAGCCCACCAGGGGGCGGGACTGGCTGGCATGTGGTGCTGGGGGATTGAACCGCGGTCCCTGTGCTTGCTAAGCTTGTTCTAAGTAGGTGCTTTTAGACCACTGAGCCATCTCACCAGCCCCAAAAGGTGTTTCTTAATGTAAACTAGAGCCCAGCCCAAGGCAGGAAAATCTTAAAAGGCTGTTTCCCTTCCTTAACCTGGTTGGGCTGTAGATTATGGCAGCCAGGACTAGTATGCCCCTTGTTCTAGAAAAAACCTGGGCCTAAGAAGTGGTAAATGATCCGAAGTAAATATATATATATATATATATATATATATATATATATAGTTTGTTTGTTTGTTTGTTTGTTTGTTTTGTCTTGTTTTTGCAGTGCTGGGGATTGAACTCAGGACCCTGCACTTGCCAGGCAAACACTTACTCTACTGAGCTATCTCCCCAGCTAGAAGTACATTATATATTGAGGCCTTTGTGTCTTTGTGACTGGAACAACATATTGTCGTAGACTCCTGCTCCATCTCAGGTCTACTAATGTCTACCTACCTAACGAAGGGAACGTCCTTTGACTAATTTATGTGCCCTTTCTGAATGAAGTACCAGTCCCAGCGATAGATGATGGGAATGGTTCCTCGCGTCACAAGCTTAATAACAAATCCCTAATTGGAAGGAAGGGGACTGAAAGCTAAAGAACAGGGGAAGTGGGTGAGGAAAGGCTCAGGATGGTCGTTTAGGATGGGACAAGAGGGAGAAGGGTCCAGGCAGAGCAAATAGCTTATTTCAATCTCTGATGAGGCACAAACCATTTAAATTCCAGGAACAAAGATTCCAAGTTTTTCTTTTACTATCCATTAGGCAGGAATCTTTCTATTTGTCTTTTTGAGACAAGGTCTCACTATACAGTTCAGGCTGGCCTTGAGCTCATTTTGTACCCCAGGGGAACTCAAAAGGATCCTTCTGTCTCAATGTCCTGAGTGCTGGGATTATGGGCCTGTGCCACTACTCCTGGTTTAGGAATGTTTCTTCTTTTTCTTTCTTTGCATTTTAATAGCGTCTACAGGGTCTCACTACACAGATCAGACGTAGTGATCCTCCTGTTTTCAGCCTCCCAAGTGCTGGGATTACAGGCGTGCACCACCACGCCCAGCACACCCTGGGGGGTAGGTCCAGCACTGCATGCCGGGGATGGAACCCCCAATCTGTGCACCTGTCTAAGGCAGGCACTTTAGTCCAATGTGCTATCTGGCTGGCCCTAGGAATGTTTCTTAACAGTTCTTCAGAGTCAACTTTCACAAGTGTTATCTACCAAGCCCTGGCTTAAAAAAGGATTTTTTGAGGCTGGGCGTGGTGGCGCAAATCTGTAATCTCAGCTCTTGGGAGGCTGAAAACAGGAGGATCACTATGAGTCCAATCTGTGTAGAGAGACCCTGTGGACCCTTGTACTAAATTAAAAAAAAGGGGGGGGGATTTTTCAAGCTCAAATTTAAGATGTTATTTGCTCTGACCTACCAATTAACTCTCTATTAGGCTCTATGCTCAACAATTCTTTTTCTTCCTGAGTTCAATCCCCGGTACCGCAAAAAAAAAAAAATTCTGTTTTTGTAGCCTAGGTTGGCCTTGAACTCATAATCATTCTCCTGTCTCTGCCTCCTGAGTGCTGGGATTATAGGCATGCAACCACCATGCCTGGCATGCTTTTTTTGTTGTTCATCTATTGATGGGCATCTGGCTATTTCCATCTTTTTTGTTTTTTGAGATAGGTGGTTATAATGTAGTTCAGGCTGGTATTGAACTATGTAGCCCAGGCTGGCCTCAAATAAGCAATGATGGGCCAGCGAGATGGGCTCAGCGG